AAGTGCTTTTAACTCACTCCAAAGTGGACGATAAAGTATAAATGGAAATATAAGTAGAGAATTTAGCGTTAACCATCTGTTAAGGGATGAGTTTGCTCCACCCATTAATGGGAGTGGGGCTTTTCCCATATGTTGAACTGCGATGAGCAACGCGGGTTTCATCGGATCGGCACGGTCTCCAAAGCTGCGAAGAATTTCGACATTTCCATTAGAAAGCTCACTAAGAGTAGAATAGTGCAACAAATCAATGCCATCCTACAACAAACAGGCAAAAGTGTATATCTGATGATGACTTAGCATGGCTGCCAATACTCCACAAAGTGAAAATCTTCACAAACTAGCGAGACGGAAATCAGATGGAAATTCTGACGCCCATGCGATCCTTCGTTGTTTCCGAACAGAGGCCGTAAGTCTGGTGTAAAAAAGCTATCATTCTGTTTAGCTTTCACTGGGTATTGATCTGCACTAATCAAATTCAGAACGACTGTACTGCCGCATTATTTGCATTGAACGGTCATTTGAACACTAATTACAAACTTTTGTTCTTACTTTACTTCCTTACGCCGGATTCCTTCTCAGCTTGGGACACTGCTGGGGGACGAATCCTCCCACTGTACATCGCAGCGCGATACCCAGGAATACCTCCTAGACATCAGGAGGCGGTAAACCGTTGGAAGGAACTTTTGTTCTACTTTCGAAAATAAGTAGGCGGCTTAACAGGTATCAATTCAGGTGTTTTAAATGGAATAGTGTACTGGTCTCTAAAAATTTATAGACAAAACTTACAACCGCAACACTTTATAATGAAAGCTTTAAAAAGTTTGCCATTCTTCTTTTCTGGCCGTTAAAATTTACTATTACTGAACTGATGGACGTACTAGTGCCGACCTCTTGCATAGAAAGCCGTCGCCACAAATTTTAGCACAAAAACAAAAACAGCAGCCCTCAATATGAGCTTATGAGCTCTCAATCATGTCAACAGTACGCAAAAATAACTTAACAGTAGAAATAAAATCGATAGGAATAATGAAAGCGTAATAAACTGAGTTCATACGATTCATCGTGAACTCCATGTTCGTCACAAAGCCGAAGCATTACCTTACGAACGAAAATTACCTGCGATTTACTATGTTAGCCTAAATGTTAAGGCTTTAAAGCCGTGACCTGACAATAGGACGCGTTCCACAGTTTACTAGCACTCCGCGGCCAATAACATTGTGGAAAACTGGACGAGAAATCAGCACGAAACCGATGAATTTTTATCGGTGTCGAGCGCTGGCGCGGGCGGCACGAACGAACACTGGCTGAGGAAGGCGGGCACGGACGGCGGCGAGCGGACAGACGGACGGAAAGGTGGAAAAAACGAACACCGCCGTCGACGGGGATCGATTCAGTCGAGGAGCCGGTGAAGTGAAATGGGCATTGCTGTGCATGAACGACGATGCAAAACCGCTCCTCAAGAGAACAGCGACAGAGCCTTCAGAGTAAATTTATCTCTCAAAGGTGCACTCGTATGTAGTCAATGCAAATTCGGCTTAACTTGACGTCACTGAGATGGGGACAATAAGGAAGATATAAAGGGCTGCATCTTTTCCTTCGTTTAGCTCATAAATCTGCTCGAAAAAAAGTCTCACGAAGTAACTTACGAAAGTGCACTTATAAAAAAGAAACTGTCACATGATCTTCTATGGGATATTTTATCTCAGCTCAGGGAGTCGAGACAACTTGGATCAACGCCGTTTTCGCAGACGTGATTGTCGGTGGTCCGGCGCTTGGTGGACGCCGGTGGTCGGCACGGGAAAAAACCACCACCACCGCCGCCAACACGGACGGACACCGCCGACTTGCACGGCCAAGATCCGCTTCGACACAACGACGACAACGAGGAGAAACGAGGTCAGATCCTGCTCTTTGCAGCTGCATGCAACGGCCGAATGGCCTGACAAAAAAAACTGGGCCACCGACCGACAGAAATGCGGTCAAGCATTGTCTAACTTTTCATAGACTTGCACTTCGTCTCACTTCATCTGGATCAACTGGCACGCTTACCTCTCTACTCGAGCAAATACTACAGATGTGCATATTTTCAAAAACAAATTCTAAAAATTTAATCTAAAATCGCACTAGATTGCAAGTAAATGAACGTACTTAGGTAGTAAATGCAAAATATCATTTTATAATAGAAATAGAACTGAGACAAGACTCGCATCCTCACTTTATAAAGAACAATTTGAATTTAGTAAAATGAAAAGAATAACAAATAATAGTAAAATAATAATGTATAAAATAAATAATTAAAAAGATATAATGATAATGAAAATGACAGTAATAAATAAAAATAAAAAAAAATAAAAAATGAAATAGAAGAGTGAAATATTTGAATTAGTTATCAAAATTACTCCACAAAGAAATGTGGAGTTGTATTCTTCTGATTCTTTTCAAGCAACCTTCACCATTTCATGAAACTTCTTTTTGTTTCCTCTTCCGTGTCTCCTCTCTGAATTAAAAAAGTATCAGTTTAAAACAAAACAAGTCTAATTCAATTTAAATTGCTTCGTTAGCATCATTCACATCAATGGATCGTGAAATGATGTTATAAGTTCAAGGAATGACAGGCATTCCAACTCCAAATACGATGGTCGTGATAACGTGTTGAAAAAACCAACCCTTAAGGAGACATGATTCAAATACTTGTCCAGAATTATAGGAAACCGTACTGCCCATTTTGTACCATCAGACTTACAGTAAAATCAGGTCATGACTAAAATATAGGAAAAAAGCAACTGAGAGTTGGTTAAGTAGGACCAACAAATTGAAAAATTATTAAATGAAACTGAGAACTGGGTCGCAGTGAACTCATCACAAGGACAATCCACTAGTGGAGTTGTGCCTATTTAAAATGGACTCCGACAGCGAGCAGATGTATGCATTCCGTGCAGAGTTCATATCCTTAATAAAGAAAAAACGATGAAAGGAACCGAATATGCTCTGGATTGTTGCATAAATCGATCCCGTTTTTATTAGGAGCTCAATCGAAAACATAACCTACAAGTAAGGCAAAACAGGGCATATCAACTGGCTGAACACACACGCTGTCTTATACAGTCATGACAGTGCGCATTGATGACAATGCGGAAATTCCTGGAAATAATCAGCCCTTTCAACTTCGAACAAATGTATTCAGATTCAGAACGACGTTAATTCATTGTTATGGGAACCATTACAATCTACAGACTGTTGATAAAGGGAGTCATGATCTCTTACTCCGCTAAGGTGAAACTCTAATTTTCTAATTCTCACAAAACACTGCTTTCGTCGAATCTTGCATTTCTAACAGTGAAGCCTTCAAACAAGAGCAGTTTTGTCAAACACATCGCGCTGCCTTTCTCGAATGAACCGTTGACGTTCACGGCTCTTAAGCGCATCTCAAAACTTTTTCAAAAAATCCTCCACTGCGCTAAGCACTTATTGCATTTGAATTCTAAACATATTTAATGTAAAAACAAGGTACGGAAAACTCTATGTACACCTGAAGGGACAAAGTTTATTGTAATCTCAGGTTCCTAAGACTTCAGGTTCTGAAGTACCCTTCTCGTCGAAGAACTGTTGACGCCTACCAGAAACGTCGTAGTCGTAGCGAATGTGACAAGTAGATTTGCGATTACGTAAAAACACTTCATTAAGAGGATCCATGTATTTCTGTGAATTGCTCAGCTTACACAAAATTGCTCGGGATTCAGAAAGATCCAACTTCGAAATCTACAAATATGCCCCATTGTGAGATTGTTTTTCTAATGACTAATCGTCGTCCACAGCAAAAACGCAGCCGGAACGCATATTTCCGTGCGCTCTTCCACTCATCCAATAATGTTTTTGCTCTTTCGTGCGTTTAAACTTGGATCTGAGCTGAATCTGAGTCTTTCAAAAGTTCATAGTACGAAAAGGAAGTAGAAAATGTGAGCCGAAAATAGCAGTTCTCCCACTACATTAATAATTAGGCAATATTTGTAACTTGTAAATAAATAAAGGTTGTAGAGATCAACAATCTTAAAAAGTAGAATCTCTCCACAAAAATCAGGCCTCTATGTCCTAATAAAAAATGAAAACACATCATATCAAAACAAAAGTCTCTGACCTTACAGGAAACCTACATTACACTAACCACATCCATTTCGGGGTAAAATTTAGCTTCGACATGGTTAATGGACCTTTTCCTCAAACAGATGTCATCACTAGTTTTCCAAAGGTATTTTCAGATAATTGAAAAGAGAGCCCTATACCTCTCGATTCGTGCACAAAAGAACTGGGGTTTAGTAGAGCAAGCTGATCGGAATGTGGACATAAACATATTTTCACTATCGTCTCAGAATATCACGCAGATATGAGCAATCCGTAATTTATTTTGTAGATCCATACAATTATAGTCCTTCTTTGCAGTGTTTCGTCCTTAAATAAATGATTGATATGAGAGGTGGGAAAACTATCCAGCTTCCTCTTATTCTGTCCAGAGTTTTCACGCTTACTATATACTATATAACTCTAAAAAGTAGATCTCATTGTTGTTCCTAAGTGCTCTTCACACATAAATGATCATATGTACTGACATCGAAATATGCGGTTCTCGTCAAAGCGTGCCATACGCATCCATTTCAATGCATACTCAGCCCGGTTATTCGTTTTGGCGCAGAGTTAACCTTCCATACTTTTCCTATTCAACCAATGGCTTATCCAACATAGATGTTGCCCTAAAAATGACTGATGGAACGCTACTCTCTAAACTTATTATACTAACGGTTTTTAAAGAATTTTCTTACGTCAACCTCACGCGACGAAAAAATAGGCGTAGTCGCATAACAAAGAAGCAAAGGACATCGAATAAAACTGTCTATACTGGATAGCAATGATCCTCTAACCAACCATGGTTCATCCTCACCGAATCTTGCACCAAATTCCAGTTAGTTGTTCCCAGTTATTTAGTTTCGTCGTAGTAATCTCACCTTTTAAATATTGATTGGCATTCGCACGGCACATGAAGAAACACGATTTGTTAATGTCAAAGTGCAAAGTGCAGGGTGTACAAGTTTTATTAACCAAGGTTGCACTTTGGCTCGACTGTGGTTGTGACAGAGAGGCTCGCGGCCGAAAGCTCCGCTCATTCTGTCGGTTTCACGACCTTCTAGAGGAGACGTTGGCGGGATTCGCAGTGGTACAAACTGTATGCAACTTGTGGAATTCCTATCATACAGGATTCCGAATTAGAATTAAAGTTCTCACGAACAAAAGAGACAGCGAGACTTTTACACAGAGCATCCATACGTCATAGATTGAACGGAATCAAAAATTTTCGTCATACTTATTTTCCCTACGAACACACCATGCTTCTGTCAAAGTATACATGTCTGAACATAGAGGAAAAAAACATTATAGCACATAATTTCAGTTGATTATTAGAGATTTAGGGAACGCTTGTGACGTAGTGGTCGGAGGCGCTTTGCAACACACACGTGGAATCGATCCCTGCGCCCATGGCCCACCAAGCCTTCCAACCCTCCGGGTCGACAGATTTATGCTCGAATTGTCTGGGAGGAAAGCAGCACCGGCTCGATACATCGGTAGGCCACTGAAGGCCAAATATTCAATCACCTCCAAACGACGCTTAATGAAAGCGAATGCATGGCGCATCACTCAGGGATTGATCAACGCCGAGAGCTTTATCCTTTTATCCTTTATTAGAAGTTTAAAGTTTATTATCGAAAATATAACAGATTTCGGACCGCGACATAGCATTTTACTCGGATGTGCCTAATGCATGGAAGTAGCCTTGTGTTTTCAAGTGCAGAGAAACGTAAGAATTTTAACTTTTCCCTACCTCCTGCTATAACAGCTAACAGATAGGGAATGTGGAGTTCGCAAAGCGGACAATTCTTCTTCATATTCCTCATGCGCAATGCGTCCAGAAGTCGTGTATCTTTTGCTCTCAGTCGCACCCGACTACATCCAAGCCAAACGAGTACCAGTGAATTCAACAAATAGCAAGCCATCTATAATAATATTATTCTCTTAGTTTTCACAGAACATACTGATTAAAAAAGACACACTCTAATGGTAGTAATAGTCACTCTTTACACAGAGAAACTGTTCTATTCATCTTTTTCACCCGAGCAGGTGGATAGATTAGGACAAAACGAAAACGAAAGAGATTTAGTATCCCCATAATGGAATTGGTAAGCCGACGACAGTTTCCTTCATCGTATAGTACGTAAGAGTTTTGTCCATTTCCTTAAGAACACTTACACCGTGTGTGTCTCTACTCAACACATTACATGCTGCTGCCGCCAGCGAGTCGGCGAAACGAAGTTGCAGTGAGTGGCTGTGCGACTGAAACTCATAACTGGAATTCTGGGAGGGATAACCACAATACTATAGTTATAGCGACGTTACGACCAAGTGCAATATTTCACTTCCTAGTAGTTCCACTACTACTCTCAATGTTTAACACGTAAACCTTCACATGCACTTAAATATCCTTCATTGGTTCTACTCTTGCTATTTCCATAACTACTTATGCTTACATAGCTAACTTTGTAATATTATTATAATCGTGGTGGTGAACGCGTCAGCCCCGAGAAAGAGTAATAGCATGTTCGATCCACACCGCAAACACCTGTCGTCCGGAGTTTTGCAAGTATCTCAGCATCGCTGTGGATGATTTCGCATAATACCCTGTCGTGAAAATTGTAGTAGACAGTAAATAAAAAAGTTAACATTATTACAATCATTGCTGTCAGTAAGTGTTAGGGTGCTTGCCAATGTTTGTTTAAGAGAATTGAGACGGAAAATGAGCTAGAGAAAACGTTTTCTACGTACGATTAACTACTTCCCAGAATATGCATAGGTTTTCTAACGTCTATATTTTTCGAATTCTTTACATTTATAAGACCACGAGCGAAAAAACAGTGTTTTCGTGACTCTTAAGATGACGAAACACATTGGGAGAATCTGACCTCCGATAGTGTCGAGTAAGATTTTAATAGCACTCGCTTGGATAATTTCATTACTAATAAGATTACACCATAGATTAAAAAATCATCCATCAGGTACTCACGTTTAACGACAAATTGATGGCTAATGAGCACGCGTACTCGGTAGCGTACGGTGTTGTTCGGCTTTCGAGTAGATTCACCACCCACTGGAGCATCCCGCATTGCAGCAGTTCACGTTGGCATAACGGTCTGTATTACAAAGATTACGATACTTGCGTCGTCTATTGCAGTATCGGCTCCTATCTGATAGTATCTACCTCATATCGTCTGTTTAAATACGAAAAAGGTATATTCATTGCAAACCACTCATTTATTCCTATACGTTGTGTTGTCCTCTAAGTCTTTAATAGGCCTAATGTTCTCATGGGACAACATCGCGCAGTTTACGGTTTACGACATTGCAGACTGTGGACATGTAAGTCAATCTAAGCCATGGTTTGTTTCTCTTCCTCATTTTTTCACCATTTCTTCGCTTTCACATCGGTGTTTAAGATTTAGAATAACAAAAAGACACCAGTTGAAAGACCAAACCTAATGACAGGACTGCTTCAACACATGAACGTTAACGTAGATTCTCTGCTTTTATTTTCGTTTAATATTGATGAAAGTGCCATGAAGATGGTTGTGCTTGTTTGGTGACTTCGACAAACAAACTTGGCTGCATTCTTCCGAAACACGCACGTGGAATCGATCTCCGTGCCTATCGCCCACCAAGTCTTCCATCTCTCCCGGGTCGGCGAATTGGTTCCAGACTTGTGTGGGAGGATACCAGCACTGTCTCGATACATCGGTAGACAACCGCGAGTTATTGTAAAGGCCAGCTATGCACTCAATCACCTCCAAATGATGCTTAATGAAGTCAAGTGCATGGCGTATTCCTCAGGGATTGGTCAACGCCAAGAGCTTTAGAGTTTTTCATTGGTGAAAGAATATTATCACTACCAGTTACATTAATGCTACGAAATAATATGAACACCAATAACTATAAAATGTCATAATTTCAGGGGTAGCTATAAGTGAAATGTGGTCTTTTTTCATACCTAACGCTGGTCTTCTGAAGAGTGGCAATCAGTTGTTCTTGTGTAGAGGTCGGAAGTCGACGACCACGTAAGACTGGCACAACACAGGTGATGAACGCGCGAACATGACCTAGATGCTAACCGTTAGTAGCATAACTGTCATATCCACCAATGTTATTTTACAAACTGATACTATCGTTCGTTCGTCTTGTGCGAATGGAATTAATAGGTATTGAAGGCGCCAAGAACCCCAGAAAAACGAAGAAACCTTTGATCACTCACTGCGACCACTCTATGGTAATCACCTTCATCTATCTCGACTTCCTTAAAACATTTTAACTGATGTGAACTAATTTCAATACGTACGCAGCAGATGATTGCTTTAAAAATTTTAACCTTCTTCAAACCCCTCTAGCATTTCAAATTTTAATTTTAAAAGGATAAAGCAGGACAATTTAACCCTTTCGCTTGCTCATCTACTTAGACCATCTGCGTTACTTCCATGTAATAGGAAAACATAGACTGGGAAGTCTCCTATGTAAAAAAAGAGGCGCGCATGGAGCACTGGTTGAAGGCGCTCTGCAACACACACGAGGGATTAATCCCTGCGGCCATGGCCCACGAAACCTTCCATCACTCCGGAGTCGGAAAATTGGTACCAGACATGTTTGGGAGAATAGTACCAGCTAGATATATCGCTAGGTTACTGCGAGTCATTGTAAAGTCCATATATGTATTCAATCACCTTCAAACGATTCTTAATGAAGTCGAATACATGGCGCATCGCTCAGGAATTGATCAAATCCGAGAGCTTTATCCTTTACCCTTGTCCTATGCAAAGAATATTTCAACTTAAGCTATAACAAGTCGACCATTAAAATAAATGTTGTGTTTTTCAAGGGTAATAAATGTTCCTACATGAAATATAATGTATTCAGCTTCATAATCTCATTGAAATTCATCCCTCACACTTGTGCTACATTCATGTACTTTTTATTGTTATCATGGCCTGTCTTGAAGGCAAGAAAATCTAAACTGCACAAAGAGGGATTTATTTTAAAAGGCTAAAAGAACCTCGTCTATAGTTCTACATAAAAACAAAGAAGTGACAGGTTGTTTAAGAATACTTAATAAAGACAAAGTTGTCACTCCCAAATCTGACTAACCGTTGTTGTGTTAAGCCCCAGTTTTTGTCATAAATCGAGAAGGCGTTAGGAGTTCGAATTCAGTGAGTCATTAATTTCACACATTCTACTAGTGGTCGGCGAATTCACGTCGATCTTATCTCCTCAAATAAGGGTCCTCCATTTACCGATAACCATTTGCTTCCAGGTAATGTTTTAAGCATGTGCGATCTTATGCACTACTTAATAGGACGCACACAACCTGGCGGTTGCAAGTGCACTACAATGATAGACATGGTAGCTAGCTCCACCACACGCTCTAAAACAGCCTGGCCCCCATCCTTCTGGATTCGCTGAAGTAGTACCAAACTTGTTTAAGAGATAAGCTACACTGTTCAGACACATCACAAACTGTCGTGTGGGCTAAAAATGAATTAAGTCACCTCTGTAACACTCAAAAATGTTGGACGCTTGGAGTATCCTGAGGAATTGATCAGTGCCAAATACTTTGTAGTACACACTTCTACAGAACACAATTTTACCTTTACATTCTTAAATCAACCTTTAAATTTTGCATTAAACTATTTGGTTTTGTCTGAATGAAATGTCTAAGTGTCTAAGTTAATGAAATATATATATATATATATTGGAATAAATAAGCCTATAAGAATATTGAAATAAAAGTGTAAAAGGACCACATTAGCGATTCCCAAAGAGGCTTTAAAAATAAGCGATCATTTCTCTTTAAGAAAGAAGCAATCATTTCTCGGTAAGGAGTAACACTTAAAACCCCTGCCTGAAATTATTCCATATATATCCCCATTCCTATCCCAGGCCCATCAGAAAAAACAATGGATGGGTAAAGCAAGGGTTTCGCTACACCTCAGCCAAAACTGGAAGTGGAAAGAGCTTAATGCTGCATGAACTGAACCAATGTTAAACAGAACTATCATTATTGTAAGGGTCGCCTTATCCTTTCTTGAGAAACAAAAACAATGCCGTAACCAAACAAGGATAGGGATAAAACTGCCCTAAGCTATACTTTCATCATTAGCAGCTTGTACAAATGTTGTGTAAAGCACGACTTCTTGAATCCTTAGAGCCCATTGCAAAAAATGTCAACGACTGGCTCTAACGAATCGAGCAAACAAGTTCTATTGCAAAAAAAGAAGAGAAAACAAAGTCCTAAACATGCATTGCACGATACTGTAAAAGCTGAAAGAACTGTGAGACAAATCCTGTTCTATGCAGATCATCCACCTAGATATCTAGACAACCGTATACCACTTTTCCAAGTAACTTAACCCACTTGTGGAGGACGGCTTCCAATAAGCAATCTGCAACCAAAAGTCCCGTTAAAAATCCATAGGCTTTAAATTAGTCCTTTATTTTGATGCACTAAATAAAACTATATCTGCAAAAATATATAGACTCTAACAGTTTTCATTGCTACCATTTGAATTTGCATGTTGGAAACTCACAATGATACCTGGACTAGTGACATCGGAAGACATATGGAAGACGTCGTCGTTGAGAGACATCTACAGAAAACAGAGATAGAAATTAGTAGTTACCAAGAAGATATTGTCGTCCTTTTGTGTAGCTGGCGATTGCGTTGATCATTCGAGAGATTTGTTCTCGAGAATCGACACCGTCTGCTTGTAACACCCGCACTAGCACGGACTAAATACATTATTTCATCAGTTCCCCATTTCCAAATTTGCTAATGAAATAAATTTTGTGAAGATAAAACCTCATACTTTAGCACTAATAGCTAATAGGAACTTGATCATGTCATACGTACATTCTTCTTCATTTTCAGAAGTAACACGTCGTTGTTGATGATCCATTCGAGCGCTTTTCTCGAGTATTCCACAGAAGCCGCTATGGTGACTTGCTAAAGCTCAATAAATGAACAAGGAAAAAGTAGACACTAGTACATCACAAGTAATAAAGAACGATAAGGCAATCTGTACACTTTGAACAACACAATATTGTCGTATGCTCTTTGCAACAAGAGAACCCCAAATTACAGTTACAAATATTTGAATCGACTAATACCAGGATCCACCACCGTCCTAGTATTCAAGTCGCATGGTGGCGCAAATCTCCCTCCGATCCACAAGAGCTGCGACTGCTTGTAGTTGTGAAGAGCTCGGGCATACTTTGGTACGGCTAATTTCGGGATTCCAGGAAACCACAATGGCTTAACCAGCAAATCTCCGAAAAATGGAGATTATGCAGGGGCTCGTGCAACCAGTGAGGACGGGCCATTCAAGTTCCAAGTATCAAGTATTATTTGAATCACAATGGCTATAATGGTTACCAAAAGTTTTTTTTCAGACCGTTTTTAATTTTTAAACCAAAAAAAAGATCAGTTGACAATGTGGTCATGCTATCATAGAAAAGATAGTAGTTTGCATGTATTCATTCCCCATTGCAAAAATGATGACGAAAAATTTCAGAATAATGATCAGATCCTACCGCAAACGAACATTTCCTTTAGATATTATCATCAATCTAACGAATTACATTTGTAAGCATGTATACCATTGTATACTGTCGTTCAATTACTGACCTTATTATAAAACTCGTGTATTGTTCAAAGCGCTCAAAGTTTAGCCTACGAGGCCCAGACGGTGGACAGTTGAACAGCTGATTGATCAACTATAACCCAAGGTTGAACTAAAAAGTGTCTTACTAAATTCCCTATTCTCCTAATAAGAAAGATTGAGCATCCTATTCAAAGAGGGGCAAAAACTTGATCCGTGTCACTATCATCAAGTGCTCACTATCATTGTTCCAAAGATATAATGCATACCTTACAAACACTCGCGGTGGCCCACCGATACATCGAGCCGGTGCCGCTATCTTAACTGTGAGGGAAACGCAAGAAGGATGAAAGACGAAAGGAAAAATGGAAGAAACCTGACGGATTGCCTGCAGCAGAAGCGCAGTGCATCGTCCAACTGGAAAAGCGCAAAGTAGCGATGATAATTTGTCCGGGTCGATATCATCGAATAGACATCGTTCTGTCTGATCCCTAACAAAATGAACATTTTACGAACGTCAAGCTAATAATAAAAATCTCATTATGTAATGTAAATTGTTATGCGGATGATTCATTTATTTTGAACGAAACCATAAGCTCTTTTTAAACGATCATTTATCATGCTAAATTATAATGGAAATCACAATGTATAACTTTTATCTAGTGCCCATAATTTTTTCATGGCAGGTACAATGTGAAATTCAATCACAATGACGTTGAAATTTTTGGAAGACTTGGACCCCACTCCAGATTCGAACCCATGGTTACTCTTTCCGCATGCACAAGTACTACTCACTGCACCACTGAGGCCTTTGCTTTGCTTTCTAGTCAGTTTTTACCCTAGTGGTTTTATTCTTTTTACATTGTCAGGAAAATGAGCAGCAAATAAAAAGTTAATATTGTGATTTTAACTACAAGCTCGGTTTAACTGGGTTCATTGCCGATTTGGGCTCTCCAGATCATTCTCGTTGACAGATGATTGCTGATGGCACTGTTAGGGCTAGAAACTAGATGAGAGAAAGACAGAGCAGGGACCTCAGTCGTTCAGTGGGTATCACACGAACCTCCGGAAAGGGTGATCGCGCGTTCGAATCTAGCTCAGGTTCCAAGTTTTGCAAATATCTCAGCATAATAGTGGTTGAGATTGTTTTTAACTCTGCTGCGTAAAAATTTAGAGTGGATTGAACTATGAACACACTTAAGAGCAAGTACATCTGCAAATTAAGCCGATATAAACTGAACATTATATCAAATGCTGCCAGCGAAGTTTCTAGTGCAACGTAAAGGTGACGTCAGTAACTTCTCAATCTGTGCAAATCGATCTGGTTGCAAAGAAAGAAGAAAGACAAAACAACAACTCAAATAATTTTAAGATTATTCATGAAAGAAACTAGAAACCTGACAGAGGAGTAGTACGATCGACGTCTTGTCATAGCTATTAATAAGTCAGTAGTCTCCCTTAGTATACAATGACAACTAGGCTTACGAGTTATTCGCAAGTTTTCTCGTTGTACTTGACGTCTTCGGATCTGAAGGGATCTCGCATAAACCGCTGACGGCACGGCGACACTCAGGATCTGAAAGAATCGACGATGAAAAACATTATCTTTGAAAGCGGTTGGTCCAATCCTTGGGATATCACTTGATGTTACCGTTTGTTCAACGCCCACATACACGTAACCGGAAATGTCTGGAAACTAAAAAATAAAGCAAACTAGGGCGATAATTTAAATAAAAACCAAGAAAATATATGATTATTGAGAGTATAAGTTGGATAGAAAGCATTTTCAAAAGTTTCTGCCACGTGCATGTGGCGCAGTGGTCGGAGGCGCCCTGCAATGCACACGGGATCGATCCCCGCGCCTCTGGCCCACCAAGCTTTCGATCTTTCCGGGATGGGCAAATTGGTGCCAGATTTGTCTGAGAGGATAGCACACTGGTTTAAGACTATGGTAGGCCACCGCGAGTCATTGTAAAGGCTAGATATCCATTCAATCACCTCTGAACTGTGCTTAGTGAAGTCGAGTGCACAGCGTATCACTCAGGGATTGATTGACGCCGAGAGCTTGATCTTTTATGTTTTTAGTGGTAATTAAAAATATAGCATGTTGTTTACAAGTCGGAAGTTCTTTGTCAAATGACGAAAATAAGTATAGAAAAATTGACAAGTAAACATACGTGTGTTGTTTAGATGGATTAACGATAAGAAGTGCTGGTAGGTCAAAAATGAAGTCGTACTTTCCTGAAAACCTCCACTCTCCAGCGGAACGTACCTCGACATGAACGGATCGGCCGAGGATGCATGTGGGTGCCCTGTGAAGGTGCCTTTCGTCCCAGCGTCATCCTTGAGATTTCTAGATCACTGAGACGCCACGTTCACGGGACCTATCCCTTTTTTTAGGATAACCACCTTATCTGCGTTAACCAAGCTACCGAAAATTAGAGTTGAATGATCTGAAATACGTTGGTTATATTTTCATGCTTACGAAACGTCTACGAACTTCAAGCCTAAGCAATATAGTCCTTAATTGTTAACGAAAGAACTGAAAATACACGTCTCAAGAAAAAACACTTGATAAGAATCCGGAAAAAAAAGTTATTAATCAAGATCGGAATAAGTACAAAGCCCAGAAAAAAGCGAATATGACGAAAGCAAGGAACATAACAGTGAGAAAGAACGAAGCACACGTAGGAGACTTTATTCACGTTTCCTTTAGTTCTTTATATACTCACGAACTTCTCCATGCACACGAAGAAATTTTTCATTCCTCTACCACTTGTCTTTTCCACAGAGAGCAGAACGTTAAATAAAGGATAAGGAACATCATCACAAAACCTTTACCCCATCTCATATGAAAAACCAAAATGCATAGAAATCTGTGACACTCAAAAACAGTAACGTTCAAGATGGGAGAAGAGATCCGGAAGAAAAGCACTCGCATTTAATTAGTTGGGGTTCGACCTGACACGGAATCGGCTGTGAGACATGCAAATTGATCAGTCTTAGATCAAAACATCGCTTATCAAAAGTGAACTCAATGGACCTGCAGAAATCGGGTAGAATCCTTGATAATGAAGACTGTCATTCTTCATAATCAGACGGTACTGCTGTGGTACAGCTTTCTTCACTAATCGGCTCATTTTTTTCTTCTTGCTTGTCAGCAGATAATGAATAACCGTTGTGATTAGAAGACGTCTAACCATAGTATGAAGAAGCATGTAAAGCTCGAATTGTGCAGCTAAGGCGAGATACGAAATAATCCGAAATACAAAAGTGCACAAGGCGCGCTACGAAATTGATTGTTAAGATTTCACTCATTCGCCAAAAACGGCTCTTTTATGAATGGGCAAGTTTACCAGAGTAATACGTTTTATGTTTTTATTTTCTATTTCATATGACCCGCCTTCACGTCTACTGTGCGGATCCCCGTACTTCTCGCATCCGATTCGTTTCCTCGCATCCATCATCCACGAAATTCTTCTAGCTTGCGGTTTCGGTTACTGCTTGGGCATCCTCCTTTCATCAAGAGTGTTGCTGAATTCTGGTCGAATCGATTCTCTATAGAATCCTGAGATAGCTAGGCTCGAGCGCTTCTACTTGTATTGCAGAGAGTGAGCATTTCCCAGACAAGTCCGATACCAATTTCCCGACTCCAGAGGGATGAGACGCTTGGTGAGCTCAAAGCGAGATCACCTGATTAGTCCCAGCACAACCTCTATTTTTTGGAGATTTGCCGGTTAACTCATTGTGGTTCCCTGGAATCCTGAGATCAGCCTGGTCATAGTGTGCCCCGCACTTCACCACTACAAGCAGTTGCAGCCCTTGTGGATCAGAGGGAGATTTGCCACCTTGCGACTTTGGTACCAGGACGGGGTAGATCCTAGTACTGGTTTACTCTTAGCTAGGCTTCCTGGTGGAAACGCCGGACTCCTTCTCGGCTTGGAAGACCCTGCCAGAGGATGATTCCTCGCTGTACATCGCAGCCCGACACCCAGGAACACCTCCCAGCCACGATGAGGCGGTGAACCGTTAGGAAGATTAGTGATTAGTGATTACCATGTGTTGAAGTCTTAGAAAGACAGAGGTTTGATTGTAGATATTCCTGCAGATTACGTAATGCTTTGTTCTACATCAATCTATAATACATGAAATTTCTCAAATCTATTTATTCTACTTTTATTGTTTCTGCAAAACAAAATGCTAAGTCTTCTTTCCCGTGCGTCTCCACTGTCAACTGCTGTGGGTCGGAACAAGGTAGACAGCAGAAAGCAGTGTACGTTAATTTTACGGTTAAGAGGAATTAAGTGTGGGGAAAAATATCCAGAGTAAACAGGAAGAACTACAT